AAAAATGCTATGCCATATTTTACCATCTAATTTGCTGCAGCAGCCAATCTTTTTTTTCAGTGTGCACGGACTTTTTCAATTAGTAGTAATTTTTTCAAATAAATAGAGGTCTCGATCACAAGAAATACATTTGACGAGCAGAATTCCAAAATGCATTTTGTCCAAAATTTCATTTTTTTTTTTTAGTTAAGATGACGTAGTGTTCAATGTTAAAATTGACTCATGTTATAAGCTACTTTGAGATGTTCAAAAAGCATTTTTTTCATCGTTAATTTACATGCTGAAAAAATATACATTTCGAAGTGGATTATGTTTTTTAACTAGAAACAAACAAAATATATTTGTTTAATATTCTTAGCAATTTTGTTTAATATTTCACATCCTACTGATTGGCGTATTGTTATTTTCTGTAAAGTGCGTAATTTTCTTGTGTGCGGAGTTTCTTTCTTTCTCTTGTTTGAAAATTACAAATTTTGGACAAAACACACTTTGAAAGTCTGCTCCTCATTTATTGTATAATTATTTTTCGTTTTTAGCTAAAAAAAATAAGTTAGAATTTGATTAAAAATAATTATCTTTCAAAAACAAGTTGGAATTACCGCTCGCTTTCTTCGTGATATTTACATATAATTGAATTACACGTTATCGATATTTATTCGCAATAATTATCTGCCAGTCATATTTATGTTGTAAATTAATTCACTCTCGCAACGTATGTATCAGTTTGCTCATCTGATGGTTATGATATTTACGCGCCGTTAACTTTATTATCTGATCGTATGTTTTTTGCTAATTCGAGATTCATCAATGCTTAAGATACTTAGGTTATCCAAGTTCTCGAGAAGCACATCCGAGAATTCGCGACGCTTGCCGAGAATCGACTCGATAAATTTCGCACGCGATTAACACGCGAAGTAGAATCCGACGTATAGTTAACCGGTCATGGAGAGCTGAGCGGAAAATCGCATACATCAAATACATAATTAAAGAATTAAATAATATAGTTTTACGCAATTTGAGAGGCAATTAAATCTCCATTAGTTTTTTCACCCTTCGTCCGCGACCAGCAAGTTTTCGAATTTCAGTGTAGATT